ACCAAATTTAAAATAAAAAATCAAATTCAAAAATATTTTATTTATTTTTATTTTTTTTAATTATTTTGGCACGGCCGGGCAAGTGACCCCAGGCCACTCTGATAGCCTAGTCAATAAGGTTTAATTAATGATTAATAATGAATTAATACGTCTTAATAATAATCAATAAAATAATAATTGCAATAATGATAATTATCGAATTTAAATTGTAAAGATTAGGTATCCGTTGAGATCATTTGAGGTCCGGGAGTTCACCGTTGATTAGTGAACTACCCGGAAGTTGCAATTATGAGGGAACGATTTCGAACAATTTGCCAAAAAATATTTTCGGAAAATCAGGAAGAAACACACTCGAATTTTTGAAAAACGTAAAATTTATGTGAGGATTGAGCCCTCAAGTAGGGGCCTTGCCATGATGTACATGTTTTGGGCTAAGGCCCCAGCAAGCCTAGTGCCCGCCCTAAGTGAAGGCGGGCCAGCAAACCAGCAAGAGCCCTCTCGGCCAACATTTCACGAAGTGGGGTCTATACAGTTGAGCAAGCCAGTTGGTTGGAGTGCACCGAGTCTCGGATTTCAGCAAATGCTGAAATGCCCAGGGCCTCTGAGTTAGTTAGGCCCTGGGCACTCGAACGTGAGGCCGACAATGCATGCTGGGTAGAGAGGCCGAAATGCCAAAGGGAATCGGCCCACTATCTGAATCTGGCCGCAGGCCTTGAGAAGAGAGGCGCAACTGCATTGCTCTGGGGCCCAACTGTGTCGGGAAGGCTTCAGCCTCTGGGTCCCGGTCGCAGGCTGAAGGGAGGCCGCCCACTTGCTGCATTGGCATATAGGCAAGCAGGGCAAGGCAGCAGGGATCTTGGCCAATGCTGGCACATGCGGGCACGCTGCGCGGATGCATGTGTGCTGCGCTGTGCAAGGCAGTGTTGCGCTAAGAGCAAGCAGGCCAGCGCTAGGCGGTAGGGCGCCGCCTGCAATGAGGGCACTGGCGGCCATAGCCTGGGCCGCATCAGGGTGCAGGGGAGGTGAGGGCAAAGGTGGTACTTCGGAGGTGAAGGGCGTTGTGTGGGTACAAGGGAGAGTGTGGGGAACAGGACACATACCAAGTGATGGTGGAATACGGCATTGGTGTTGACATCATCACTCGCTGGTCGTCAAGTTGTCTGGTTGCTGTTCATTGCTGTAGTTCTAGGATAGGTTGTAGAGTAGATAGGGCGCCTCGGGCCATTCACAAGAGAGAGCTACATTTGGGTTATGCTGTTGGTGTTGCCCTGATGGGCATGGACATTGACTCACTATTCTTCTGTATCATTCTCAATTGGATGGTTACTCGGTTCCATGTGCTATCTGCTTTGGCTTTGAATACTTGGCCTTCAGTGTGATTTTGCATTCTGGATTTCTATGCTTCGTCTATACTCATGTTTCTTGCAATTTGGTATCGGAGCTGGTTTGATCGCCGCTTACCTTTGGCACGCTGGCGTTATACAAACTTGGTGCGTTGATGATGCTTCTTCGCAGTGGGTACTTGTGACGTCAGGCTACACTAGGTGCACGCCCTGAGTAGAGAGGGGTGCACCGGAAGGCTATTGACGACATTATTAGCCGTGGTGACAGGCGGAATGTTTGATTGATGATGAGAGCATGCTGATGTGGCATTGGACTAAGGTGGCACTGCATTGCGTTGTGGGTGGTACCGAGATCATGACCGGTCATTAAATGCAACATCGGCTCAATTGGTGAGAAAATCTGTGGTTGGGGGCAGCTATCTCCAGGTATGTTGATCCCTGACCTTATCTACCCTCTCAATCTCTTCTTACCGTGAGGAAGTGAGTCCAACTTGAGAGTCCTCTCCTTGGTGAGGTGTCGTGAGCGCGCTACCTTGAGAGACGACAATCTTCCCRGAAGCATCTGGAAGGAGAAAGGGCGGTGCCTCTGAAGGGTCCTGGTCGAAGCACTGGGTCACGGTCACCATGCCAACCCAATGGGAGTAGGTCACGCTGCGATGGCTGCTATCCATTAAGGCACTTTGCTGCGCCAAATAGAAGTTGCTCTGGGTGTGCCAGCCCATGACAGACGCTTACCATACCGTCTATAAACATTTATGGTCAGGAGTTCATTGTGATTCTGGCTGTGATCGTCGTCCTGATTGCGACGTTAAATAATTCCTGAAGAGATGGGGGCGCTCTATAAATTCCTCCTGATCAGCCAGATCACATGGACAGGAAGGCTCGTCGTCGTACGAGGGTAAATAAGAGTGGTTGGGCTGGCTTGCTCGGTGACAACTTGGGCACAGGGGTGGGCCGAAATACACACGAAGACACTGCCTGCTCAATGATGTTGTTCGGATGGTTGGATTGAGGGGAGGGTAGGTTCCAATTGGTGCTCAACTGTATACACAATAATACCCATCAATCATACATCTGCTACATTGTCTTTTTGTACCTTTGATTAGTTGGTTGACGGACTGCTAACCTCAAATACAGATAAGTGTAGGACTGTTGTATGCTACCATAGTCAGTTCTAACTAATGTTGCTGTAAGTGAAGCAATCAGGGTGCATCTAGACTATGTAGACGATTTGTGTGAATGTTGTAGACATGCCACTTGATTCGGTATAGTAGGGGACTCGCCGGACATAACTATATATAGAAAATTTTGTGCCGGTCAGATACATGTTGCGGTAGGATTCCACTAGGGGATTCTAGTGTAGATACTATTTGCCTAACTAATGAGTGGGTCAGATCCTGGTGATGATAGAGCTGATAATAGGAGACTTACACGTTTTGAAGCATTAAGGGTTCCGCACGTGTTCAGGACCTTAGACGAGGGAGAAGAAAGACGGCTTCGTGCCGAACGTAGAGCCCGTGCTCTAGCAGCGGGGATAGCCGCAGCAAACGCAGCATCTAGAGAGCAGGCATCAGCAGCCAGAGCAACAGCCATGGCTAACGGTACCAGCTCTGTTGCGTCATCGTCTGCGTCATCGTCAGGGACTAATGGAACTCAGTTGGGAATGCCACTGAGTTCCACAAGTTCCTCGGGCACTTCCGGTTCAACAGGGTCTAGACAGTCTTCTAGTCAAATGACGGGCTCGCAGTTCAGCCCGTTGACCCCACGTGAGAGGGAGCTCAGAGAGATCCAATAGGTCGAGAGGCTCCGCCAACAGTTAAAGGAGGATCTGAAGAAAGCAACCGATAGAGAAAGACAAATAAAGAGTAGAGCAACCAGACTTGATACGTAAGAGGCTGACAAGGCTGTGTTAGAGGGATTGGACGAATCGAGTTTGTCTGACACCCTGAAAGTGTTGAGGGACAACATGTTGTCACTGCATGCGCATGTGGACAGCAGGATGGACTTCATGCAAAGCACTTTGGACCAGATCCTGGATGCATTAACAAAGTCAGGATTTCGGCCACCAGCACAATCGCCGTTGCCGTTAATGGCGATGTCAGGCCCCTTTGTCGTACAAGCTGGCACACAGCCAAGTGGCACATCCGCAGCAGCAGCACAGACTATTGCGTCTTCTTCTTCGGGTCCAGTGGTGATTGCTGCATCACCACAACAACTTGTTCAGTCAACTGGACAGCCGCAAGGTCAATGGTATCCCAAGACCCCAATGATACCGCCTCTTGCCTTCTTAGGCAAGAGAAAGGACGAAGGACTCAACACATGGTTGAGGACAGTCCTGGTTTGGGTGAAGGCCAAAAGGACCTTGCCAGAGGATGAAGTGGTAACTGCGGCATCTTACCTAGAAGGTAAGGCAGCCAAATGGTTAGATGGGGTAGTTGTGAAAGCCGGGTACGGGCGACGCACGGCAGACTGGGCCAAGTCTTTGACTCTAGACCAGTTCATGGAGATGGTTCAAGCTCGATGGCATAACCCACAGGAGGCACAAAGGGTCACTGATGCCATAAATAAACTAGACCAGCGCAAGTTCCGGTCAGTTAGAGAGCTTACGACTACCGTTGAGAGCCTGATCCTCGTCTCGGGAATCAACTAAAGTGACCAGGTCCTGTTAACTACTTTCATTAGATGTCTTCCAGAGAACATCGGGAACTAACTAGCCAGTGAGGCACGTACCGAGTACCACTCATTTGAGACATTGTCTAGGAAGGCTTTAGATTTGGACGCCACTCTAGGCAATGCTCAACCCACCTCAGGAAATGACTCAAAGAAGAAGAAGAGTCCTCAGGAGTGGAAGAAGAAGGGGGCGAAGTTGATGATGGTGGAGTCTGATGGGACTCAAACTGAAATCGATGAGCTCTCTGGCCTGGTGGACTACTCAGAGTATGACGGTGAGGAGGTAGCTGAGGGTAGCACCCTTGCCGCGGTAGTCCAACCTAGGAGTCAAGGAAAGGCCGCCTCCAATCAGACCAAACAGTCTGAGTGGGTAAAGGCAGGTCTTGATCAAGACGTGTGGCGTGACCGCCGAATGCGTGGCGCTTGCATCAACTGCGGAGAATACGGACACACGCAGTGGAAGTGTCAGAACGCTAAGGTTACGCAAAAGGTTGCTCCAAAAGTGTGGACAACCTATTCCCAGGCTTCTAGCTCGGGAAACGCGTAGGGTCAGTGGAAGTAGTAGCGGCTTCT